ACTCTACTCTGCACCACACTCTACTCTACTCCGCACCACATTCTACTCTACTCTGCACCACACTATACTCTACTCTGCACCAAACTCTACTCTACTCTGCACCACACTGTACTCTACTCTGCACCACACTGTACTCTACTCTGCACCACACTCTACTTTGCACCACACTCTACTCTGCACCACACTCTACTCTACTCCGCACCACATTCTACTCTACTCTGCACCACACTATACTCTACTCTGCACCAAACTCTACTCTACTCTGCACCACACTGGACTCTACTCTGCACCACACTCTACTCTACTCTGCACCACACTCTACTCTACCCTACTCTACTCTGCTCTACCCTACTCTACACTACTCTGCTCTACCCTACTCTACACTACTCTGCTCTACCCTACTCTACTCTACACTAAACTACTCTACACTACTCTACTTTACACTACTATACTCTACTCTACTCTACATGACTCTATTTTGACAGACAGACACACTGAGTCTTATATTAAGATTTTATTGGATGTTTACAGATGTAATAATGTACAAGATACATGAATATAACTGCTGGCTGTTATAAAGCCGCTGACAGGACAGGAGTGAGGAGAGGGCACCACGCTATACTCTACTCTGCACCACACTCTACTCTACTCTGCACCAAACTCTACTCTACTCTGCACCACACTCTACTCTACTCTGCACCAAACTCTACTCTAATCTGCACCACACTCTACTCTACTCTGCATCAAACTCTACTCTACTCTGCACCACACTCTACTCTACTCTGCACCACACTCTACTCCACTCTGCACCAAACTCTACTCTGCACCACACTCTACTCTACTCTGAACCACACTATACTCTACTCTGCACCACACTCTACTCTACTCTGCACCACACTCTACTCTGCACCAAACTCTACTCTGCACCACACTCTACTCTACTCTGCACCATACTCTACTCTGCACCAAAGTCTACTCTACTCTGCACCACACTCTACTCTACTCTGCACCACACTCTACTCTACTCTGCACCACATTATACTCTACTCTGCACCACACTCTACTCTACTCTGCACCACACTCTGCACCAAACTCTACTCTACTCTGCACTACACTCTACTCTACACCAAACTTTACTCTGCACCACACTCTACTCTACACCAAACTCTACTCTACTCTGCACCACACTGTACTCTACTCTGCACCACACTCTACTCTACTCTGCACCACACTCTACTTTGCACCACACTCTACTCTGCACCACACTCTACTCTACTCCGCACCACACTATACTCTACTCTGCACCAAACTCTACTCTACTCTGCACCACACTGTACTCTACTCTGCACCACACTGTACTCTACTCTGCACCACACTCTACTTTGCACCACACTCTACTCTGCACCACACTCTACTCTACTCCGCCCCACATTCTACTCTACTCTGCACCACACTATACTCTACTCTGCACCAAAGTCTACTCTACTCTGCACCACACTGGACTCTACTCTGCACCACACTGTACTCTACTCTGCACCACACTCTACTCTACTCTGCACCACACTCTACTCTACCCTACTCTACTCTGCTCTACTCTACTCTACACTACTCTGCTCTACCCTACTCTACACTACTCTGCTCTACCCTACTCTACTCTACACTAAACTACTCTACACTACTCTACTTTACACTACTATACTCTACTCTACTCTACATGACTCTATTCTGACAGACAGACACACTGAGTCTTATATTAAGATTTTACTGGATGTTTACAGATGTAATAATGTACAAGATACATGAATATAACTGCTGGCTGTTATAAAGCCGCTGACAGGACAGGAGTGAGGAGAGGGCACCACGCTATACACTACTCTGCACCACACTCTACTCTACTCTGCACCAAACTCTACTCTGCACCACACTCTACTCTACTCTTCACCAAACTCTACTCTACTCTGCACCACACTCTACTCTACTCTGCACCAAACTCTACTCTACTCTGCACCACACTCTACTCTACTCTGCACCACACTCTACTCCACTCTGCACCAAACTCTACTCTGCACCACACTCTACTCTACTCTGAACCACACTATACTCTACTCTGCACCACACTCTACTCTACTCTGCACCAAACTCTACTCTGCACCACACTCTACTCTACTCTGCACCATACTCTACTCTGCACCACACTCTACTCTACTCTGCACCAAACTCTACTCTACTCTGCACCACACTCTACTCTACTCTGCACCAAACTCTACTCTACTCTGCACCACACTCTACTCTACTCTGCACCAAACTCTACTCTACTCTGCACCACACTCTACTCTACTCTGCACTACACTCTACTCTACACCAAACTTTACTCTGCACCACACTCTACTCTACACCAAACTCTACTCTGCACCACACTCTACTCTACTCCGCACCACACTCTACTCTACTCTGCACCACACTATACTCTACTCTGCACCAAACTCTACTCTACTCTGCACCACACTGTACTCTACTCTGCACCACACTCTACTCTACTCTGCACCACACTCTACTCTACTCTGCACCACACTATACTCTACTCTGCACCAAACTCTACCCTACTCTGCACCACACTGTACTCTACTCTGCACCAAACTCTACTCTACTCTGCACCACACTCTACTTTGCACCACACTCTACTCTACTCTGCACCACACTCTACTTTGCACCACACTCTACTCTGCACCACACTCTACTCCGCACCACATTCTACTCTACTCTGCACCATACTATACTCTACTCTGCACCACACTCTACTCTACTCTGCACCACACTCTACTCTACTCTGCACCACACTATACTCTACTCTGCACCAAACTCTACTCTACTTTGCACCACACTCTACTTTGCACCACACTCTACTCTACTCTGCACCACACTCTACTCTGCACCACACTCTACTCTACTCCGCACCACATTCTACTCTACTCTGCACCACACTCTACTCTACTCTGCACCACACTCTACTTTGCACCACACTCTACTCTGCACCACACTCTACTCTGCACCACACTCTACTCTACTCCGCACCACATTCTACTCTACTCTGCACCACACTCTACTCTACTCTGCACCACACTCTACTTTGCACCACACTCTACTCTGCACCACACTCTACTCTACTCCGCACCACATTCTACTTTGCACCACACTCTACTCTACTCTGCACCACACTATACTCTACTCTGCACCAAACTCTACTCTACTCTGCACCACACTCTACTCTACTCTGCACCACACTATACTCTACTCTGCACCAAACTCTACTCTACTCTGCACCACACTGTACTCTACTCTGCACCACACTGTACTCTACTCTGCACCACACTCTACTCTACTCTGAACCACACTCTACTCTACCCTACTCTACTCTGCTCTACTCTACACTACTCTGCTCTACACTACTCTGCTCTACCCTACTCTACACTACTCTGCTCTACCCTACTCTACTCTACACTAAACTACTCTACACTACTCTACTTTACACTACTATACTCTACTTTACACTACTATACTCTACTCTACTCTACATGACTCTATTCTGACAGACAGACACACTGAGTCTTATATTAAGATTTTATTGGATGTTTACAGATGTAATAATGTACAAGATACATGAATATAAATGCTGGCTGTTATAAAGCCGCTGACAGGACAGGAGTGAGGAGAGGGGGGGGAGGAAAGGGAGGAGAAGATGGCGGGGGGGAGGGGGTCCAAACTTCCCAAATAAAATGAGCAGTAAGATCTTGGACCATTCCGGTTGTTTCTGTATAATATTAGAAGTTATTACTTTCATATTTATACCATAAACCCAATGGTCTATACCATAAACACATTGGTCTATAGTATAGACCAATGTTTTTATGGTATAGACTCTATACCATCAACACATTGGTCCTTACCATCAACACATTGGTCCGTTGACACCAACGACGGGACATAACAAAGAGCGGTCTCTAAAGCTGTGCTCTGATTGGTCAGGAGGCCACAGCCGCTTCACAGCAGGCATCACACTGCAGCAACTCTCTCTTTTTAGATCTGTTTAGATCTGATCAAGACATCTTGGAGAGACCAGGGGCAGACATCTTGCACAGTCACGTGTACAAACAAATGCTTTCCTTCTGTGAAACTCAAGATATTGCCCAAAATATTTGTCCGTTTCCTTGTTGCCACAAAGGACCATGAAAAGAGTGTCGTAGTAACGGTGTGAGTATTGCTTACTATTCTCAGACAGAATCTTTTATTGTTGAATTAGCTGTAAAATGCACTACCTGTGGTCATATGGGAATATTCAGTAGGACCAGAAAATGCCACATTTGGTCCGTGGGCCATAGCTTGGACACCCCTCCATTAAAAAAAACAAGCAAAGTGAGAAAAGGAGACAATATAAAGAGGCATAGACCGACTTTCTATTTAGACCTGTCCCATTTCCACACTGCCACACACTGACCACTTTACTGCTGTTTGCTGTTTTTCATATTTTAAAAATCATCAACAAAGAAATGCTGTGAAAAAGAAGAATTCAACCCTTGTTTTAAAACTGTTACAACTTAATCATCAATGATAAACATCTTTCCAGGAACTCGTCCAAAAAGATTTGTTTGGAGACATTTATAACTCGTCTTCAAACCAGTGGAAGAATCTCTCCTGCTCACCTTTACAAATAAATCCTGGTCACAAGGGCCTACAGGTACAGCCTACAGGTACAGCCTACAGGTACAGCCTACAGGTACGGCCTACAGGTACAGATGTATGAGGTGCAGTGATGGGACAGGTCTGCGGCCTGCAATAGAAGGCAGTGGCAGAGTACAGAGCCACGCGTATATCATACTTTCAGTGGTTTAAATACAGCCTTTGTTTATACTTTGGCAGCGGTCCCACAGAGTCCGGCTCAGTTCGGCTCAGTTTTGGCTCCGGCTCTGGTCTGATTCAGGTCCAAGTGGATTCCGTCTTTGACATCACGATTTGTCGTCATAAAAGTCTGACTCTGGGAGCTCCACCTCGGCCAGGCCACGAGGGGGCGCTACAGGAGAGAAGAGCTGCACGCCGCCTGAAAGAAGAAGAAGCTCAAATGGATCTATAATAATAACTGGAATGAGTATTACAACTTGGAGCTGAAGAACCATGTGCTCGGGGGATTCTTGCGGTACTGCAGACTAAACCAGACTGAACCAGACTCAATTCACGTGGGCTACACAAAAAAAGTCCCATAGAACTCAATGTAAACTACAGTAAAACAGCGCGACCTCAGCTGACAGAGAACCTGACAGAGAACCTACAGCTTTGATAAAGGTCATATTTTGTGGGGATTTTAGTGTCAGTGGTCATCCTAAACTTTTTTCTTCTTAAATCCTTCGGTTTTGTTTAAATCCATGCATTAGTGCCACAAACTCTGCTTGTCTGGCTCTCGCTCTAACTCCCGCTCTGATGAACTGCTCTGACCAATCGGCCGAGCCCCTCTGTGCACGTGCATGAGACCCACACACCCGTATATTACAATTGTTATTTTTTGGGCATTTGTCTCTCACTCCACACAGAGATGAGAGGGGCCAGTACAGGAGGCGCATGCCAGATCTATTGTACATGTTTTCAGTGGTAGGGGAAACTGGAGCACCCGGAGGAAACCTACGCAGACACGGGGAGAACAGGCAAACTTCACTCAGAAAGACCCTGTTCCGACTGGGATTTGAACCCAAGACCTTCTTGCTGAGAGCCGAGAGTGCTATCCACTCAGCCACAGTACACACAGTATGCAGTACACACAGTATGCAGCATGTTCAGGTCTTACTTGTCACAGTGATGGTGATGTCAGTGGGCGTGGCCTCTGGGTGGGAGGGGCTTGGCTCCAGGATGATTGACGGTGGGAGAGAGTCACTCAGCTGCGTCCTCTGGCTCCGGGAGGCGGGACTATAGAGCGATCCGTCCAATGACACGGACTCTACACAAGGAATACTGCTCTGGAATATACACAAACACAGACACACACAGACACAGACACACACACACACAGACACACACACACAGACACACGCACATACAGACAGACACACACACACAGACACGCACACAGGCACACACATAGACACACAGACACACGCACACAGACACACACAGGTGAACAAGGGGCAGCTGTCACTTGGAGGACAGTACTGAAGGTAAAGGTGACTTTCAGACTCTGCTTACGAGTGTGTGTGTGTCTGTGTGTGTGTGTCTGTATGTACGTATTTGAGGGGACATTGGGACATAAACACTCACCACGATGCCGAGGGCCTTGAGGATGTTCAGTTTGCACATGGGGCACGTACAGTGTTCGTTCAGCCAGGGGTCAACACAACCTTTGTGGAACACATGCCTACAACACACACACACACATTCATATATACAGTTCAGATATTGCACACGTTTAATCTGCGTCTAATGGTCCGACAGTTTCATTTCCAACATGGTCGTCAGGATAAACCCTGTGTGTGATGTCACATGAACTACGGCTTGTAAAAATATAATGTTGTTTCAATGTCTGCATTTTATGAAGTGCCATAATTTCAGATAAAATACAAACACTGAAGAGGTGGTGATGGGGAGGAGGAGGGTTGCTGCACAAACAGCAGCACAGGTGCATGTGTGGAATAAAGGTAAGACTCAGCGGCATTTGTTTCTCCAGTTTCCTGCTTTAGCTGCTTTTTAACTCACTTTAGTAGAAATGAGAGCTAGTCGTCGTATCAGTATCGTATCAGTATCAGTATCGTATCAGTATCAGTACCATATCAGTATTAGGGGTGGGAACCTAAGTGTACCTCACGATACAAAGCTCACGATAACGATATTATCACAATAACGATATTATCACGATAACAATATTATCACGATAACGATATTATCACGATAACGATTTTATCACAATATGACGATTATTGATATATTGGTCAGAAATATACAATATGCAAATTTATGGCATAAATAAAAGAAAAAATACTCTTTATTTCATGATAAATAGAATGGAGATGCGTAATGTAGCCATATATTAAGTATTGATACCAATTCAAAAAAAAAAAAAACCTTTTTTTTTTTCAAAATCGATATCGATACGATCGATATCGATCGGCACGGTGGCTGAGTGGATAGCACTCTCGCCTCTCTCTCTCTCGCACTCTCGCCTCTCAGCAAGAAGGTCCTGGGTTCGAATCCCGGTCGGACCAGGGCCTTTCTGAGTGGAGTTTGCATGTTCTCCCCGTGTCTGCGTAGGTTTCCTCCGGGTACTCCGGTTTCCCCTACCACTAAAAATATGTACAATAGTTCTAGCATGCGCCTCCTGTACTGGCGACCCCGCTCCCATCTCTGTGTGGAGTGAGAGACAAATGCCCAAAAAATTAACAATTGTAAACCGCTTTGAGGCTCAGATCTGCAGTGAAAAGGCGGTATATAAATAAATACTTACTTACTTACTTACTTACTTGGCAAATGCATATTGATAATCGAATCGCGGGAGAAAGTATCGCAATATATTGAAAAATCAATATATCGTCACACCCCTAATCAGTATTGTATCAGTATAATATCAGTATCAGTATCAGTATCGAATCAGTATCAGTATCAGTATCGTATCAGTATCATATCAGTATCGTATCAGTATCAGTAGCAGTATCAGTATCGTATCAGTATCAGTATCAGTGTTGTATCAGTATCAGTATCGTATCAGTATCATATCAGTATCGTATCAGTATCAGTATCAGTAGCAGTATCATATCAGTATCAGTATCGTATCAATATCGTATCAGTATCAGTGTTGTATCAGTATCAGTATCAGTATCATAAATATAAAGACCCCCACCTGATGTGTGACTTTGCAGTAGTAACAGTAGTAACAGATACTTTGCAGTACTAACAGATACTTTGCAGTACTAACAGATACTTAGCAGTAGTAACAGATACTTTTCAGTACTAACAGATACTTTGCAGTACTAACAGATACTTTGCAGTAGTAACAGATACTTTGCAGTACTAACAGATACTTTGCAGTACTAACAGATACTTTGCAGTACTAACAGATACTTTGCAGTAGTAACAGATACTTTGCAGTAGTAACAGATACTTTGCAGTACTAACAGATACTTTGCAGTAGTAACAGATACTTAGCAGTACTAACAGATACTTTGCAGTAGTAACAGATACTTAGCAGTACTAAGATACTTTGCAGTAGTAACCGATACTTTGCAATACTAACAGATACTTTTTGCAGTACTAACAGATACTTTGCAGTACTAACAGATACTTTGCAGTACTAACAGATACTTTGCAGTAGTAACAGATACTTTGCAGTAGTAACAGATACTTTGCAGTACTAACAGATACTTTGCAGTAGTAACAGATACTTAGCAGTACTAACAGATACTTTGCAGTAGTAACAGATACTTAGCAGTACTAAGATACTTTGCAGTAGTAACAGATACTTTGCAGTACTAACAGATACTTTTTGCAGTACTAACAGATACTTTGCAGTCCTAACAGATACTTTGCAGTAGAAACAGATACTTTGCAGTACTAACAGATACTTTGCAGTACTAACAGATACTTTGCAGTACTAACAGATACTTTGCAGTAGAAACAGATACTTTGCAGTACTAACAGATACTTTGCAGTACTAACAGATACTTTGGACTCACTTGCACGGCAGGATCCGCACGACGTCGTTGAGTTGATAAGACTCGATGCAGACGGCGCAGTGACTGAAGTCTGGGTCTGTCTCCTGCAGAAAGAAAGACCGGGTCTACAGGGTCTACAGGTCTACAGGTCTACAGGGTCTACAGGTCTACAGGGTCTACAGGTCTACAGGTCTACAGGGTCTACAGGTCTACAGGGTCTACAGGGTCTACAGGGTCTACAGGGACTACAGGGTCTACAGGGACTACAGGGTCTACAGCCTCAGTCCTGGGTCTACAGTCTCAATCCTGGGTCTACAGCCTCAGTCTTGGGTCTACAGCCTCAGTCCTGGGTCTACAGCCTCAGTCCTCGGTCTACAGCCTCAGTCTTGGATCTACAGCCTCAGTCTTGGGTCTACAGTCTCAGTCCTGGGTCTACAGCCTCAGTCTTGGGTCTACAGCCTCAGTCTTGGGTCTACAGCCTCAGTCTTGGGTCTACAGCCTCAGTCTTGGGTCTACAGTTTCAGTCCTGGGTCTACAGTCTCAGTCTTGGGTCTACAGTCTCAGTCCTGGGTCTACAGCCTCAGTCTTGGGTCTACAGCCTCAGTCCTGGGTCTACAGGCTCCACAGGTGTCTCTGCCTCTTCTTCTCTCACATGGTTTTAAAGCAGACTAAGACCAGCAGGACTCACCTTGTCTCCTCTGCGGACCGTCCTTGTGGTCAGTTTCCTGATGGCCTTCTTGGCTGCGTCTCCAAATCCTCTCTGAGGAACAGGACTTAACAGTCATACTTAACTACAGTAGAAAACAACAAAAGTGCTAAAGTGACATGTCCACATACCACTGAAATACTTACTGTTTACTTACTCACTAGAACTAGTCTCCCTCTGGTCTCTCTCACTGGTCTCTCTCTGGTCTCTCTCTGCTCTCTCTGGTCTCTCTCTGGTCTTTCTCTCTGGTCTCTCTCTGGTCTCTCTCTGGTCTCTCTCACTGGTCTCTCTCACTGGTCCCTCTCTGGTCTCTCTCTATGGTCTCTCTCTGGTCTCTCTCTGGTCTCTCTCTTTGGTCTCTCTCTCTGGTCTCTCTGGTCTCTCTCTGGTTTCTCTCTCTGGTCTCTCTCTGGTCTCTCTCTGGTCTCTCTCTGGTCTCTCTCTGGTCTCTCTGGTCTCTCTCTGGTCTCTCTGGTCTCTGAGTATAGAGAGTGTAGTGTCTGACCTGAGAGCGCCCCCTGGTGGCCCCTCGCAGCCTCTGTGCGCAGTAGAAGAGGAGCCAGGCGGAGCTGACCCCCATGAGGACGATGAAGGACACGGACACAAACACCAGCGACGACCGCGGCGTGTTCTGGGATCGCGGTCCCACCAGAACAAGCACCCGCACCGAAAGGTTCCTCTCCAGGTACGACAACAACTCACGACCAAACAACTCTGGGATCATGACCGCAACCACGGGCCCTGTGCCTACACACACACACACACACACACGCACACACACATTTCAACTACTTTGATCTGAATTGAATTAGGCGGAATACTTATCTACCAGCAGTAGCAGTAGCCGCAGTAGTAGCAGCAGCAGTAGCAGTAGCAGTAGTAGCAGCAGTAGCAGCAGCAGCAGTAGCAGTAGCAGTAGTAGCAGCAGTAGCAGCAGCAGCAGTAGCAGTAGTAGTAGCAGTAGCAGTAGTAGCAGCAGTAGCAGCAGTAGCAGTAGTAGCAGCAACAGTAGCAGCAGCAGTAGCAGTAGTAGTATTAGTATTAGATAGCAATATGGCCTACGTGCAGGACTCTACAAGGACTCTACAAGGACTCCATGTTATGACTATGATTTGACTGTCTCTTTGTGACACGTATGTCTTTCGATGTGTGACGTGACAATGACTATATAAACTGTGTACTGCCTTTATTCTGTCTGAGAGAAAGAAACAGAGTAAAACAGTGGAACTTGAGAGAAACTTAAATAAACTTCCAGAGTTTGGCACACCACGATCCGTCTCTGTCTGCTTAAATCCTGACAGTAGCAGCAGTAGCAGTAGTAGCCGCAGTAGTAGCAGCAGCAGTAGCAGTAGCAGTAGTAGCAGCAGTAGCAGCAGCAGCAGTAGCAGTAGTAGTAGCAGTAGCAGTAGTAGCAGCAGTAGCAGTAGTAGCAGTAGCAGCAGCAGTAGCAGCAGCAGTACCTTCATGGCCCATGCGGACCGTCTCGTTGCTGCTGTTGTTGTAGATCAGGACGGCGCTCGCTTTGTAAGACGCCGCTCTCTGGATCTTTTCTCTGAACGTGCAGTTCCCTCTCTGCAACAGCGCCACCCACTGGACCGAGCGAGGAGGACTGAACCGGGTCTGCGGGTCACAGCCCTGCAGGTCCACTCCTAGACCGGGTTTAGACCAGGCACAGACTGAATTAAGACCACAGAGAGACAAGGTCTAGACCACAGAGAAACTGGGTCTAGACCAGGTTTAGATCACAGACCACAGACAGTGGTGGGGTACCTCCGTGGTGGGGGCTGGGGGACAGCAGTAGTCCTCGGGTCTCGGTCTTGGGCGAGTGCAGACCGAACAGAGCGTCCTCGGAGCTGCTCATGTGGATCACGTTGCCTTTGGGGTCGGTGGCGGTGGCGTTCACCGTGGCAACGACGTGGTCATCTGGTAACAGACTCCGATGCCCCGCCCACACGGAGCGCAGCGCGACCAGAACCAGGACCTGAGTCCAAGTCCAGGACTGGTCCATGACCTGAGGCAAAGAGTTATTGTTTTGTTATTATTTGGTAACCGTGGGTTACAGGCACAAGACTGTAAAGGAGCAGGTCTGTTTCTTAGCTGCAGCTGTAGCCAGCAACAGACTCAGGTCTGTAAAAAAGGTTTGTTTTTTTTCATGTGGTTTTACAGAAAATGGAAAATCTTCAAAGAATATGTGCTAAACACTTTTTAAGAAGGTGCAGAAACACAGTCAACAGTCACATCAGTCACAACAGTCACAACAGTCACAACAGTCACATCAGTCACAACAGTCACATCAGTCACAACAGTCACAACAGTCACATCAGTCACAACAGTCACGACAGTCACGACAGTCACATCAGTCACATCAGTCACATCAGTCACAACAGTCACAACAGTCACAACAGTCACAACAGTCACATCAGTCACGTCAGTCACGTCAGTCACGTCAGTCACGTCAGTCACAACAGTCACGTCAGTCACGTCAGTCACGTCAGTCACGTCAGTCACAACAGTCACATCAGTCACAACAGTCACAACAGTCACGTCAGTCACGTCAGTCACGTCAGTCACGTCAGTCACAACAGTCACGTCAGTCACGTCAGTCACAACAGTCACAACAGTCACAACAGTCACATCAGTCACATCAGTCACATCAGTCACAACAGTCACAACAGTCACATCAGTCACAACAGTCACGTCAGTCACGTCAGTCACGTCAGTCACAACAGTCACAACAGTCACAACAGTCACAACAGTCACATCAGTCACAACAGTCACGTCAGTCACAACAGTCACAACAGTCACATCAGTCACAACAGTCACAACAGTCACATCAGTCACTACAGTCATATCAGTCACAACAGTCACAACAGTCACATCAGTCACAACAGTCACAACAGTCACAACAGTCACATCAGTCACTACAGTCATATCAGTCACGTCAGTCACAACAGTCACATCAGTCACAACAGTCACAACAGTCACATCAGTCACAACAGTCACAACAGTCACATCAGTCACTACAGTCATATCAGTCACAACAGTCACAACTGTCCCAACAGTCATTACAGTCACAACAGTCAACAACAGTCAACAACAGTCAACTGTCACTACAGTCAACAACGATCAACTTTTTAAAATTATTATTACTGATAATAATAATTATCAATAATCCATCCATCCATTTTCTACCCCTTAATTCATTACTGGGTCGGGAGGTGGTCAGAGATGCCGCCCAGTACACATAGCACCAGCCCCTCACTGATCCTCCTGCAGGTGGTGCAAGGACACAACGACAGCAGACATCCGTGGGAGTCGGTGGAGAAGGTCTCATGGTGGGCTCGAACCCACGACCTTCAAGGTTCAAAGGCCAATGCTCTACCAACTGAGCCACTGTATAATTATCAATAATGATAATTATTATTATTAATAATAATAATAATAACCTCATGGATCCGTGGCTCGCTGTAGGAGAATGTCTGGGTCACATTTATCTGTTGGACCTGGAGGTGACGTCGTTACAGTCGAAATGGTCCTAATTATACATCTCTTTTCAGGACTCACCCAAACCCTGTTTCTGTCAGGAGCAGGATTCGAACCCCCAACCTTAAACCCAGAGGACCACGCGCATGAAGCTCCTATAGGTCGGATCGCACCTTGAGACAGGGCCTTTCTCAGTTTGCATGTTCTCCCTGTTTCCTCCAGGTGCTCCGGTTTGTGCTGCTGTTTTCAATGGACTGTTTTACCTCAGTCCTCACTTGTCTCCTGAGCGCGTGCACGTGTCTTACCTCAGTCCTTACTTGTCTCCTGAGCGCGTGCACGTGTCCTACCTCAGTCCTCGCTTGTCTCCTGAGCGCGTGCACGTGTCCTACCTCAGTCCTCGCTTGTCTCCTGAGCGCGTGCACGTGTCCTACCTCAGTCCTCGCTTGTCTCCTGAGCGCGTGCACGTGTCCTACCTCAGTCCTCGTCTTCTCGTGCCCTTGTCTCCGGTTGGACGCTGGTTCGTTGTTTTAGGTCCCCCTTGATTCACATCCTGTCCTGTTGTTTTTCACCGCCACGGGCACGCGCATGACGGACGCGTGCACATGAGGCCTGGTTGGTCCTGGTTCGTCCTGGTTTGTCCTTTGGGGCCGCTGGAGTCTCGTTGGATCGGCTTTAGTCCAGCTTCAGTCCCGTTTGTTTGTGTGGGCCTCGGGATGAGTCAGCGGCGCCAGAGATGCAGCGCGCATGCGCAGATAGGAGCGCATACGGCACAAGAGGAATATGGTTTTTAAACTTCTGCTGCTGATAAACTACTTCTGTCCGTGTCAAATGTATGGGACAGTTTTTAATCTTCAAAGTAACATATTAATCTAGGACAAAATAAACATATTCTTCCCGTTTTGAGGAAATTGGAATTTATATGAATGAAAACGTTTAAAATATTTTATAAAATATACAATAAGAAGGAGCCACGATGCGATGATTATAACTGGTCTCAGGTCTCTGTCCTGAAGTCCTCTCACATTAGTCCTGGTCTCAGGTCTCTTTCCTGAAGTCCTCTCACATTAGTCCTGGTCTCAGGTCTCTGTCCTGAAGTCCTCTCACATTAGTCCTGGTCTCAGGTCTCTGTCCTGAAGTCCTCTCACATTAGTCCTGGTCTCAGGTCTCTGTCCTGAAGTCCTCTCACATTAGTCCTGGTCTCAGGTCTCTGTCCTGAAGTCCTCTCACATCAGTCCTGGTCTCAGGTGTCTGTCCTGAAGTCCTCTCACATTAGTCCTGGTCTCAGGTCTCTGTCCTGAAGTCCTCTCACATTAGTCCTGGTCTCAGGTCTCTGTCCTGAAGTCCTCTCACATTAGTCCTGGTCTCAGGTCTCTGTCCTGAAGTCCTCTCACATTAGTCCTGGTCTCAGGTCTCTGTCCTGAAGTCCTCTCACATTAGTCCTGGTCTCAGGTCTCTGTCCTGAAGTCCTCTCACATTAGTCCTGGTCTCAGGTCTCTGTCCTGAAGTCCTCTCACATTAGTCCTGGTCTCAGGTCTCTGTCCTGAAGTCCTCTCACATCAGTCCTGGTCTCAGGTGTCTGTCCTGAAGTCCTCTCACATTAGTCCTGGTCTCAGGTCTCTGTCCTGAAGTCCTCTCACATTAGTCCTGGTCTCAGGTCTCTGTCCTGAAGTCCTCTCACATTAGTCCTGGTCTCAGGTCTCTGTCCTGAAGTCCTCTCACATTAGTCCTGGTCTCAGGTCTCTGTCCTGAAGTCCTCTCACATCAGTCCTGGTCTCAGGTGTCTGTCCTGAAGTCCTCTCACATTAGTCCTGGTCTCAGGTCTCTGTCCTGAAGTCCTCTCACATCAGTCCTGGTCTCAGGTGTCTGTCCTGAAGTCCTCTCACATTAGTCCTGGTCTCAGGTCTCTGTCCTGAAGTCCTCTCACATCAGTCCTGGTCTCAGGTGTCTGTCCTGAAGTCCTCTCACATTAGTCCTGGTCTCAGGTCTCTGTCCTGAAGTCCCCTCACATTAGTCCTGGTCTCAGGTCTCTGTCCTGAAGTCCTCTCACATTAGACTTGGTCTCCTGTGCCAGACTAGTACCTGTGTCCCCTCAGTGCAGATTGGTACCTGTGTCTTTGTATTTGAGTGCCCCAGAGCGCCCCCTGCTGCTGGTGTGAAATAACAATAATGTTGTGTAGACTTTTTAAAGTTTATTTTCATATAAAACATGTTTGTGTTTTTCTCATGTGGAAAAAGAAACAGTCTTTGTCCAGAGGTTATTTGTGTCTGTACCTGTGTCAGGTTTCACAGGGACTTGGACTATTGTACCTGTGTCAGGTTTCACAGGGACTTGGATTATGGATTCTCTCTCAGATTCAGTCCTTTAGCTCCAGTGTTGGGAAGTAACTGAAACAAGATCACAACGTTTTAGACACGAACGGGACGCGAGAACGAAGGACATGTGACCACAGCAGGACGAGAAGGTCTGAGGACTCAGGTCTGAGGACTCAGGTCTGAGGACTCAGGTCTATTTATTTATTTTTTATTTATTAATTTATTAAAGGAACAGTGCATATTAAAATACATTATTTATTTATTTATTTGATAGGGACAATGCACATTAATGAACATCAGTATAAAACAAATGTAAATATGCCGGATTATAGCTACAAAGCTAGTTTTCATCCGTAGTCCCTTATGCATGTAAATATGCCAGAATTAGCCAATTAGCCTGAGGACTCAGGTCTGAGGACTCAGGTCTGAGGACTTAGGTCTGAGGACTTAGGTCTCAGGTCCAGAGTTAATTTTGTTAACGAAATATTATCGTCATATTTTTTTGTAACAAATGAATATGTTACATATAACGGTCTCTCTCTGGTCTCTCTGTCTGGTCTTTCTCTGGTCTCTCTCTGGTCTCTATCTCTGGTCTCTCTCTGGTCTCTCTCTGGTCTCTCTCTGGTCTCTCTCTCTGGTCTCTCTCTCTCTGGTCTCTCTCTGGTCTCTCTCTCTGGTCTCTCTCTCTCTGGTCTCTCTCTGGTCTCTCTCTCTGGTCTCTCTCTGGTCTCTCTCTCTGGTCTCTCTCTCTGGTCTCTCTCTGGTCTCTCTCGGGTCTCTCTCTCTGGTCTCTCTCTCTCTGGTCTCTCTCTGGTCTCTCTCTCTCTGGTCTCTCTCTTGTCTCACTCTCTAGTCTCTCTCTGGTCTGGTGTAAACATGTGTTTATGTCTTACAAAAATAGTTTTAAAAAGCCAAAGATGGAGCTTCTTTCTGCAGTCTTTGTCTCCCTCTTGTGGTAAAACCATGAACTGCCGCTGGCACACAGTAACAAAGGCCTGGAGGAAACGTGTCCGAAATGTTTTCTAAGCTGGTCATTCATTGTTGTTATGTAATGTTCACACATTTCACAGTGTTTTTGAAACTTTTATCTGCATATTTAACAGTTCTAGCTTCACAATCAACATAAAAAAAGATTAAAAAAAAGATATTCTTCTTTAGCAAAGTCTCCACAGAAACACAGGCATTTTTACATTGGTCCTAACACTGCAATGAATATTAGTCCTGGTCTCAGGTCTCTGTCCTGAAGTCCTCTCACATTAGTCCTGGTCTCAGGTCTCTGTCCTGAAGTCCTCTCACATTAGTCCTGGTCTCAGGTCTCTGTCCTGAAGTCCTCTCACATTAGTCCTGGTCTCAGGTCTCTGTCCTGAAGTCCTCTCACGTTAGTCCTGGTCTCAGGTCTCTGTCCTGAAGTCCTCTCACATTAGTCCTGGTCTCAGGTCTCTGTCCTGAAGTCCTCTCACATTAGTCCTGGTCTCAGGTCTCTGTCCAGAAGTCTATGCTGAGCTTTAGAACAGAGGCGTCAAACTCATTTTGGTTTAAAAAAAATAAGAGCCGCGGTTGGAGCTAAAAGTATAAACGTGGTTTACTTCAATTATATTTTATTTTTATTTTCATATTTTATTTTTATTTTATTTTGATAAATACATTTTGTTTGACATGAGTTTGGATATTATTTTCCAGTATGTTTGGATTCAATCACAACTGGCCCAAATATTGAAGATATAATTAAAAAACGCTGAAGAACATATTTAATTATATGCTTGTTTTCCTGAAAAAATAAGCTTTAAAATGAAGTATAACAGGCCATCGAAGCGCATTACCATCAATGCTTCTTTCACATTTTTAAAAACATCGAGACTTAAAGGGTTAAAGTTTGAGGCGGAACCATTGCTGAGACGTCTCTTGTTTCCACACGGGATTGTTGTGACGTAAAACCCGTTGGCAGAAGTACGTGGCCCATGGTTCATCCTTGTTTACGTTCAGCGCAGACGAAAATCACGACTTTACATGATCCAGACTTTTTATATTTCAGACTTTTATGCTTCAGACTTTTATGCTTCAGACTTTAGGGACTGGAACATGACGGACGACTGCCTCTCTGTGTGACGGATGTTCCTGCTGCTGCCCCCCCCCTGCTGCTGTTATGACAGAGATCGGCTCTTCCCTGGAGTTCTCGGGGAGTCTCCCCCCCCCGCGGACTCGCATCTTTAAGATCATCGTGATCGGGGACTCGGGGGTCGGGAAGACCTGCCTCACGTACCGCTTCTGTGCTGGAAAGTTCCCGGATAAGACCGAGGCCACGATCGGGGTGGACTTCAGGGAGAGGCTGGTGGACATCGACGGGGAGAGGATCAAGGTGAGGACCACGGATGGTTCAGTTTTCTGTTGTTATAATATTGAGGCAGGTTTATTTGTATCGCACAGGTCATACACAAAGCTTTACACAACAAATAATCAGTGTTTTATAAAGAGTGAAGATCCTTCATGTACTGAACTGTTTTACCCTGGATTTAACTCTGGAACCAGCAGGAGGCCAGTCCCTGTGCTCCCCAGAGTCCCAGCAGGAGGCCAGTCCCTGTGCTCCTCAGAGTCCCAGCAGGAGGCCAGTCCCTGTGCTCCTCAGAGTCCCAGCAGGAGGCCAGTCCCTGTGCTCCTCAGAGTCCCAGCAGGAGGCCAGTCCCTGTGCTCCTCAGAGTCCCAGCAGGAGGCCAGTCCCTGTGTTCCTCAGAGTCCCAGCAGGAGGCCAGTCCCTGTGCTCCCCAGAGTCCCAGCAGGAGGCCAGTCCCTGTGCTCCTCAGAGTCCCAGCAGGAGGCCAGTCCCTGTGCTCCTCAGAGTCCCAGCAGGAGGCCAGTCCCTGTGCTCCTCAGAGTCCCAGCAGGAGGCCAGTCCCTGTGCTCCTCAGAGTCCCAGCAGGAGACCAGTCCCTGTGCTCCTCAGAGTCCCAGCAGGAGTCCAGTCCCTGTGCTCCTCAGAGTCCCAGCAGGAGGCCAGTCCCTGTGCTCCCCAGAGTTGGTTCATATGTTTGTCAAACATGTCACAGATGGAGAGACTTGTAACAAACAGAGCTGCTTTAAAGTCCATTCTCTGAGCCACAGAGACCTGAGGACTGGACTAATGTACCTGTACTTCCTGGTTCTAGTCCGGACTCAAGCTGTTTCCAGTCAAACAAAACAGTGGGTTCAGGAAAGTTACCGATGTCAGGTTCTTTTGTAAATGTGCGCTTTATTGATCCCCGTAGGGCAATTCATCCTCTGCATTTGACCCTGATGCTCTAAGGCTTAGGTCAGGAGCAGTGGTCACCGTAGAGCTGGAGAATTTAATGTATTGTGCATGTTTTTAGTGGTAGGGGAAACCGGAGCACCCGGAGGAAACTTACGCAGGCACGGGGAAAACATGCAAACTCCACTCAGAAAGACCCTGTTCCGACCAGGATTCGAACCCACGACCTTCTTGGTGAGTGGCGAGAGTGCTAACCACTCAGCCACCGTGCCACCACTATATCAGCACATATTATATTATGAAGCTAAGCAGGGCAGGGCCTGTTTAGTACTTTGATGGGAGACCTTTGGGAACACCAGGTGCCACAGTGGGGCAGCTGTAAAGTGCCAAACTGTGGTTGTGTATATAGTAACGTACATATATATATATATATATATATATATATATATATATATATATATATATATATATATATATATATATATATATATATATATATATATACATGTGTGTGTGTACGGTACATGACCCTCTGGTCTCCTCAGATCCAGCTGTGGGACACGGCGGGGCAGGAGCGCTTCCGTAAGTCCATGGTGCAGCACTACTACCGTAACGTCCACGCCATCGTGTTCGTGTACGACGTGACCAACGCCAGCAGCTTCCAGAACCTTCCGTCCTGGATCGACGAGTGTCAGCAGCACGCGCTGGGCTCCGAGGTGCCGCGGATCCTGGTGGGCAACAAGTGTGACCTGAGGGACTCTCTGCAGGTCAGCACCGACACCGCGCAGCAGTTTGCAGACTCTCACTCCATGCCTCTGTTCGAGACCTCCGCCAAGAGCCCTGGGGGCCCAGAGTCAGGCCCCGAGCCAGGCCCCAGGGACAGCGACCACGTGGAGGCCATCTTTATGACTGTGGCTCACAAGCTCAAGTCACAGAAGCCTTTGGTGCTGAGTCAGCCTCCTACAGAAGCACCAGGGGCCACTGTCCACCTGGGCAGGGGCCGGGACCGGGACCAGGGGCCATGGAGCTGCTCCAGCTGCTGAGAGAGAGAGGGGGGAGGGGGGAGGGGGGGGGAAGGAGAGAGGAAGGAGAGAGAGAGAGGGAGGGGACAGAGGAGGGAGGGAGGGGACAGAGGGGGGAGGGGGGAGGGAGGGGAGAGGAAGGAGAGAGAGAGAGGGAGGGGACAGAGGGGGGAGAGGAAACGGCAGGAGAACATGAGTTTGATGCTCTTATGAACTGAACCCAGAGTCTGCAGAGATTCTCCTTTAGCCAAAAACAATAAACACCTTTTACCTTTTTTAATGTTTTATTGAACATCCGTGTTCCATGACTACATCCGTGTTCCATGACTACATCCGTGTTCCATGACTACATCCGTGTTCCATGACTACATCCGTGTTCCATGACTACATCCGTGTTCCATGACTACATCCGTGTTCCATGACTACATCCGTGTTCCATGACTACATCCGTGTTCCATGACTACATCCGTGTTCCATGACTAAACTAGGACTGTCAAAATTATCGCGTTAACTCACGTTAATTACATTTTTCATTAACGCGTTATTTTTTTTTTAACGCATTCACGCACGATGACCCGCCCATTTATCCATAAGAATATCACTCAGAATGCTGCGTGTGAGATGGCCTCCTCCGTGGCTGCTCTGGTTGTTGTTAGCGGCTGTGAGTGAGTGCAAGCTTTGCGCGGGCTGCAAGCATGGATCTAGCTATTATAATAACAGCAGCAAGCGATTGCTCCGTTCACATACTCAGCGCTCTGCGCACTGTATTCTCCCTGGTTCTTGTCTGTCAGGCACAATCTGCGTACTGTATTTTCCCTGGTTCTTGTCTGTCAGGCGCGAGTGTTGCTCGTGTGTGTCTTTGGGAACTAATTATTTTATAATGATTATAACTATTTATTTAAAATAGTCTCTTTCAATTGCAAGTTTTGTAATGTGTTTGTTTGATCAATGGATAAAAATAAATGCAATTTAATTAAATGGCACCTTGGCCTGTCTTATACCTGTTTGCCTGCAGGACAGTTCCCTAAACTAACATATCATACTAAAATAGGGTGGGGTTGTTGCAACAATTAATCTACTTAGAAGTTATCCTAAATTACAGCCAGCTAAAACTCGGTACCACAACAAACGAAAAAGTAACGCAATAGTTACTTTTACTGGTAACTAGTTACTTTTATAGTGGAGTAACTCAGTTAGTAAGTCAATTACTTTTTGGAAGAAGTAACTAGTAACTATAACTAATTACTTTTTCAAAGTAACTTACCCAACACTGGATTTATATTTGATAATCTCATTTAAATTCAATTGGAGTGGATTTAAAATAGAATGTTAAACATGCGATTAATCGTGAGTTAACTCACCGTTACTATGCGATTAATCAAAAAAAAAAAAAAATCGTTTGACAGCCCTAGACTAAACACTACGATGCTGTTTGTTGTAACAAGCAGATTTTAATGAATCTGGATCTTTTTGTCTTTCTTCTACTTCAAACTAAATCTAGATAAACTGTTTAAATCTCGGGTCCCTGACTTTGCTCAAAACACACTGAGAGCTGTTTGGCTGAGAGCTGATTGGCCAAGAACTGATTGAGTTAGAGCTGATTGGCTTAGAGCTGATGTGCCGAGAGCTGATTGGCCGAGAGAGAGAGGGGGGTCTCTGATATAAAAATGTGACAGAGACATGTATAAAGTGTAAATATGGAACTAGTGACATAGATTTGATCACGTTATAAATGTTTTGTGGTTTGAAATTCAGGTCCCCCAGCTTTAATTAGTGATTCTGATGCATTCTGTCAGCTCTGACGGTTCAGGTTGATGGTTCAAATCCTCATGTTGCCTTCAGTGTCTCTGTGCACTGTGTGTGGATGGACAGCTAATAAAGTTCTGTGATTTTGAATGGATTCTTTTATTAATACATTCAGACCAGAGTGAGAGACCAGAGTGAGAGACCAGAGTGAGAGACCAGAGTGAGAGACCAGAGTGAGAGACCAGAGTGAGAGACCAGAGTGAGAGACCAGAGTGAGAGACCAGAGTGAGAGACCAGAGTGAGAGACCAGAGTGAGAGACCAGAGAGAGACTGGAGAGACCAGAGAGAGAGACCAGAGAGAGAGACCAGAGAGAAAAACCAGAGAGAGACCAGAGAGAAAAACCAGAGAGAGACCAGAGTGAGAGACCAGAGTGAGAGACCAGAGTGAGAGACCAGAGTGAGACTGGAGAGACCAGAGAGAGAGACCAGAGAGAGAGACCAGAGAGAAAAACCAGAGAGAGACCAGAGAGAAAAACCAGAGAGAGACCAGAGTGAGAGACCAGAGAGAAAAACCAGAGAGAGACTGGAGAGACCAGATATCATTCACTGATAGTCTCACCAGGTGAGGTACCTGGTGACTGTGAGGCACCCGGTGACTGTGAGGGCAGTCACTAGGTTCCACACAGTCACTAACCTTAACCATCTTATTCAGACCACCTTAACCCTAACCCTAACCTTTAAGGACTTATTAGTCTAAAACTAATTCCGTGTATGATCTCGTGCTGACCGTAAATAGTGAGCAGAAGAACATGTTTTCTCTTCCTGTTGGTACAAACAAAATGTGATATATTGTTGTTTTCTGTTGGCGCCACCTGCAGGTGAAAGCCAGATCCCATCAGACCTCTGAATGTTGGTGGGAGGGGCCAACGACACATGGTTGCCTGGCTGCTGTCAGTGTCCCACAGTCACTGGATCCCTCACAGTCACTAGGTCCCTCACAGTCTACATTCTCTAATACTTGACAAAAATATGACAATTTAAATTTCATTTATTGATACAAAACTTGAAAACATACATATACAAACAAAGTGAAATTCAGAGTCACAGGTTTTGGAAACATCTGTGACTGACGGAGGGTTGGCACACCAGCAGTCTGCCGCTGGTTAAAGAGGAGAAAACTACTTAAAGGTGACCTACATGTATGTGTCTGTCTGAACCTGTTGTTTTTCTGCATTATTCACTGTACACATGCTCTGCACTACCTGCACCATTTTTTTTGCACTCTGGGAGAATAAAAACACACCTGATCACGGCAATCTGAGCTCGTCTGTTTTATTTTTCAAGTAACCCACGACAGTGACGAATCAACATCTTTGTAAATTCCTCTGAGAGAACGGCTATGCTTTAGGGCGATACACAGAGCGTTAGCATCATGCTAACCTAGCATACGGCGGCGGCGTCGATGTTCTCTCTCTCTGCTCCGAGTACGAGGCCGGAGACTGGAACAAACCCTCGTCTGTAGCTGTGGAAACACAACAGTTATTCATCCATCCACCCACCATCCATCCATCCACCATCCATCCACCCATCCACCATCCACCCATCCATCCATCCATCCATCCACCATCCACCATCCACCATCCACCCATCCACCCATCCATCCATCCATCCATCCACCATCCACCATCCACCATCCACCCATCCATCCATCCATCCATCCACCATCCACCTATCCACCCACCCATCCACCATCCATCCACCATCCACCTATCCACCCATCCATCCACCATCCATCCACCCACCCATCCATCCACCATCCACCTATCCACCCATCCATCCACTCACCCATCCACCCACCATCCATCCATCCACCATCCATCCACCCATCCACCCATCCATCCATCCATCCATCCACCATCCACCATCCACCATCCACCCATCCATCCATCCATCCATCCATCCACCATCCACCTATCCACCCACCCATCCACCATCCACCTATCCACCCATCCATCCACCATCCATCCACCCACCCATCCATCCACCATCCACCTATCCACCCATCCATCCACTCACCCATCCATCCACCATCCATCCACCCACCCATTCATCCACCCATCCATCCACCATCCACCTATCCACCCATCCATCCACCCACCCATCCATCCAACATCCATCCATCCACCATCCATCCATCCACCCACCCACCCATCCATCCACCCACCCACCCATCCATCCACCATCCATCCACCCACCCATCCATCCAACATCCATCCATCCACCATCCATCCATCCACCCACCCACCCATCCATCCACCCACCCACCCATCCATCCACCATCCATCCATCCACCAATCCATCCATCCACCCATCCATCCACCAATCCATCCACCCACCCATCCATCCACCAATCCATCCACCCACCCACCCATCCATCCACCATCCATCCACCCACCCATTCATCCATCCATCCATCATCCACCCACCCACCCATCCATCCACCATCCACCTACCCATCCATCAGAGCCACCTTAACCCTAACCTTAACCATCTTACTCAGACCACCTTAACCCTAACCTTAACCATCTTACTCAGACCACCTTAACCCTAACCTTAACCATCTTACTCAGACCACCTTAACCCTAACCTTAACCATCTTACTCAGACCACCTTAACCCTAACACTAACCTTTAAGGACTTATTAGTCTAAAACTATTTTTCTCTTTTCCCTTCCTGTTGGTACAAACAAAATGTGATATATTGTTGTTTTCTGTCAGCCAGATCCCATTAGACCTCTAAATGTTGGTGGGAGGGGCCAACGACACATGGTTGCCTCGCTTCTGTCAGTGTGCCCCAGGGCAACTGTGGCTACAGTAGTAGCTTAATAACCACCATGTTTGGAGTTAATGAATAATATCATGTGATGAGTCTTAGTGAGTCCAAAACAGCAATGTATAAAACTGATGCATTATTATTATCGAAAAGTCTCCCTCCCTCCCCCCCCCCCCCCCTCCCCCCTCCCCCTCCCCCTCCCCTCCCTCCCTCACTCTCTCTCCCTCTCCCTCTCCCTCCCCCTCCCTCCCCCCCTCACCTCTCCAGGAGCAGACCATCTCTGTGTCTTCAGGGTCCGTTTGTGGAACAAGTCTCTCCTAAACATCAGAGGTTAACATTTTCATTACTTATTTATATTATATATTATATTATATATGTTATTATATATATTATATATGTTATATTACATATTATATTATATTATATTAAGTTTGGACACACCTTCTCATTCATAGAGTTTTTTCATTTTCATAATTGTAGATTGACACTGAAGGCATCAAACCTATGAATGAACTCATGTGAATTATGTACGAACTAAAAAAGTATGAACCAAGTGAAAATATGTGTTATATTCTGGTTCTTCAGCTTCAACAGGACCTGAAATGGTCTTCAACAGTCTTGAAGGAGTTCCCATGATGCTTAGCACTTGTTGGCCCCTTCACTCTGTGGTCCAGCCCCAAAACCATCTGGACTGGGTTCAGATCCAAAACCATCTGGACTGGGTTTAGGTCCAAAACCATCTGGACTGGGTTCAGGTCCAAAACCATCTGGACTGGGTTCAGGTCCGGTGACTGTGGAGGTCATGTGTCCCAGCACCATCACTCTCCTTATTGGTCAAACAGCCCTTTCACAGCCTGGTGCGGGTCTACAGCAATAGTCATGAAAATAACTCAGTGAAGGAGAGAGGGTGTCCACATATATTATATATTACATCATGTCCTGGTCTTTGTGGTTTTACTGCAGATAAAGTGAATGTTACCTGTCCTGTGGTGGTGTC